GATTGGCAGACATACTCGTTGCATGTAAGAATAGACGTTAACAACAATACTCTCCTTTTATTTCTTCTTTTCGATAAAGTTGAATTGTAATATTTGATTTCCAGGAGTGATTAACTTATTTCTGACACTGAGGATCGTATCGAACTAAAGTTATATGTTTCAAGGTTTTCGGCATCATTCAAACCCAGCCATTAATAATCTATACTAAAATTATAATTCCCGTAATTTTTATTACGTTTCTGAAGTTTTGACTAATTTAGTGCTTACTGTCATTGTACGTCATGGTCCATCAGACGTGCTTTTTGTCATTGTACATCCGGGTCCAGCAGACGTGCTTATTGTTATCGTACATTACGATCAAGCAGGGATTTTTTTTAAAGCTGATTCACCATGTTCGTTACTGGGTTTTTTGTTGTTGTCATATTTATTTATATAACACAAGATAAATCTTACATGATGTCGATGCATTTCATCATGCATCGAAACAGCGATCTTTGTTTGGTTTTGTGCATTATTTATAAAAAAAAACTGCCAAATAGTCTTGCCACAAAATTGCATTGATTTGGAGGACAATAAAATAAAAAAAACAAATTCCATGTAGAAAACATTTTGGAAGAATACCATGGAAAAATTTTGGTCAAGATATTTTTAAAGTGCTTTGGTATTATAGATCTTTACCTTTTACAGTTACGTTCAACTCTGGTTTCTATAGAACGTTTAATTGTTCAAAATGTATGATCTGGCCAGATCATGGAGTGAAGTGGAAAAGCTTTTGGTGTCGCGCTTCTGACATCCTGGTGACGTGACCTGTCCATGTCATCTGTGATTCATCAGCAGAGTGTGGATGCTTTCAATACTTGCTAGAGTGGGAACCTCGCATTATCTTTATCAGGTATCTCAGGCAGTCCACATGAAAAGTGTTTGACTTACAGCCAGTACAGCATATTCTCCCACACATTTATGCGCAGTTTGTCAAAGGGCACAGTTGCTTTAGCAATTTTGTTGTTGGTTTTATCGTTGATATGGACTGTACGCGACAATATAGTGCCGAAGTAGAACATGTCCATATCCAGGATAATTTTGCCATTTACTGTAATGGTAGGCTGTCCTTGTGGAAATTGATGCATCAACTCCATCCAGGGCTCCTGTTTGAGAGCCAGTGTGGCTTCAGTATCATGGTTGTAAGACCGAAGCTGTCAAAAACTAAAATGGGAGTGTCCATAGTTTGTTGCATGCCAGAAAGAGATTTGTCAGACAGGGAATAATCATCAGGAAACGGGAGATCTCTAACAGTCATTTCTTGTAACTTCTTCGCTTGCAGTCATCTTAGGTTGAAGAGCTTGTCATCATCCGGTATGCGATATCAATCCCAGTATCATAGCCACTGAAGGCATCACCAAGACAGAGAACATCATAAAAATAGAACTGGGCTCTACATAAAGCCTCGCTTGACACCATTGGAGATTCAGAATGGTCTAGATGACTCACCGTCGTCCACGACGCTAAAACGCGTTCCATCATGGGATTGACGATCTATTACAACGAATTCCCATGGACAATCAAATTTTGTAATCATGTTTCAAAGGATCGCACGACGGAATGTGTCAAAAGCTTTTGTCAGGTCGACAAATGCAGTGTATAGGCTGAAGTTCCTGCCATTTCTACGCCAGCTGGCTTGGTGTGATACGCGTGTTAATTCAGTACAATTTATGCCAGAATTTAGCTGGCCTTTGACAGCATGGAGATGCCCCGCATGTTGTTGCCTCATTGGCTGTTGTCTTTCCGCTTGTATAAGTGGACGAGGTATTCATCGTGTATGCTGGGGTATTGTTTCTTGAGTCCACATTAACTTGAAGAGCTCGGATAGGTTTTGTGCCACATAAGAACATCCGGCTTTGTAAAGTTCTGCTTGTATAATGTCTGCTCCAGGTACTTTACCATTTGACAGTAGGTCTTTTTCCTTCTCTATTTTAGTCAGCTCGGGGTGATTAACAAGTGATGTGTTGATTTCCAAATGGAGCATTTAAATCCAAAGTATTAGATATAATTTATTTAATTAAATACTTTACAAAGATAATAAATGAGCAGATCAAGTCATGTTATTCACGTAATATATTCAACAATTTATATTTCTTTCATATTTTAATTTGTTCGTTTCTCACTAAACAAAATATTTGTATAAAGAGAAAATTAATCTGAGATCCACAGCCTATTACAAACTTGCGTGCTTATCGAAAATCAATTCCATATTGAAAGTTTGATGGCATTAATGCTAGAATCTTGCTCGATCAACTCCAAAATGTCACTGATATTAAAATAACAGCAAGTGGCTTAATTCTAGAGATAAATATGGAGGCGGGAGGTTATTTCGATATTATAGTTCATGCTTCGGCGTCAGCATCTTCTAAAACAAACTTACTTAATATAAAAGTGACTGGTCCAATAAAACGATATTATATGTTTTCTTCATATAAATGTAGAAGGATAGCTATAATTGAATAGGTCCAGTGGTCTAATGCGCTCTATTTTACATAATTCAGATATCCCATCTCTGACATAGTGAGCTCTAGTCTCGACTCGGCTAACATGGATGTGTGAGAAAGCTTCCCGATAATCGATGGTTCTTCCCGAGTTCTCCTCCAACAAAATACGATGGCCGCCATGGACAGTGTATCAAGTGTTGCGAAATGGTGTTAAGCGCACAAAACCACTAACCATAACTGAATAAAGAACTTGAAATGCTTTAACGAAATAGATTGATCGGGATATCAATGGTGTAAATGAAACAGAACCACGAGCAAATGCATTTCCCTAGAATTTTTCAAGTGGTTAGAGTTTAACCGACTGATGTACAGAAAGATGGACTGAATGCTTCTGGTTGTTATGGAGTGGGTGGCTAGGAACTTCATTACTGAACAGTTTCAAGTCGGGGTTATTGACAGAAATGTTGACGACGGTGTTATTAGTATTAATTTTTTTTCTGAAGGATTCATTTTCTGCTTTCGTTGTATTAAGCTGTAAATATTAACTCTGGAATATTCTAGACGAGAAAGAGACTTACAGTCATATGCTTCTCTACGCTGATCTGCATTCACGGTGAAAATGACGCTATCTGTTTATTTGATAACTTCGACTCCATGCAGGCTTTTTTAGATGATAGCAACCTGGAAACGAATGTTATTCAGGTTATTTAAATTCTAGATCGAAGTGGAAATCAGCACGGACACTCGTTTACTGAGTATGAACATATTACCAACATAAGTTATTTAAAAGGACGATTTAATCGACAGAAGTATAATTGACTTTATTATGCACCTATTGTTTTTTTTTTTACTCAAGAAAGAACTAGAGATTTACTGTTATTTTCTATAAGTTGGACAACGATACTGTCATTTGCCAACTACATATCACATTCCTCCTTATTATGCTGGAATTTTTTTCCTCAACAAACGTGAACAACTATACCATTATCTCACTTAACATGCAAATGGAAATTATTGGCATTCTCTGTGATAAAACTATACCACAATGATCCGCCAATTTACCCAATCCTATTGTAAATAACTGTCAAAATAATGATGTCATTTCCATGCCAAGTCCTCATCGGGGTCTCTCATAGCGCCTTTGGTGGCGCTCTACAGTTTCGTATTTATCATAAGGTTAGAATTTTAAAGAAAAAGAGTTTCTCCGGGTTTCCTCGCTAGTTATACTGGCTATTTAAAAGAGACTTTGTATATCTTAGGTATTGTTCAAAGAACCTTTAAATCCCTTTATTTTGATGTATGATTGATGGGTGTAATAGAGTTAGAGAGTATACAGCTTGGCCTTACTCCAGATGTGCTCCTTTCAAAAAAGTGCTAGCTCTAATTGCTCATTTTCACTTCTCGAACTTCAGAGGTAAATTGTAGAGCCGCTATTTTTTTTTTTTTGCATTTTATGTATTTGGTAATTCATTCATTGCACTTTTAGAAGCTGGTATTGTCTAGTTTGGCAAAATTCGTTTTCCATGTTTTAATAGCTGCCAAGAATAGTGTACTTTAGACAAATTCAGGTTGATTTTTGGAGCACAAGGGAGCAGTCATTTTAGTTAGCAGTGTCCTAAGATCATTTAAAATTTCCAAAAGTACAATATCCAAAGAAATTTCAGCCACATTACATGAAAGTAGTATATAGGTATGTCAACATTATCTCCACTATGCATGTTTAAAATGCAAACAACTTCACCTTACATACATCACTCTCTCAAAAGTACCTACTGGTGAGCGCCACCTTTAGTATGGCCCTTGAGTGAAGCATTCCGAGAGTTATTCAACTCCCGAATTCTTCCGTGATACAAGATTTGAGAACTGCATGTGAATCACACATTACTAACATCGATAATAGTGAAATTCAGCCACGGTTGTTTCAGGCGTTTCATTCATAAACTCTATTACCCATGCTATGGGCGCCAGCATGTAGGTGCGAGAGAGGGGGTGAGGTAGGGTGGATGGGTGGTGGAAGCATGGATTCCATCTCTAAACATGTTTTGGCCTACATCTGTAAAACGAAATGGCTGACCATTTCACGTTTTACACCCCTTCCGCCGAAAATATTTCTGCTGGCGCCTGATATATGTTAATATCAGCTGATCGATATGTAATTTGGTTCATGATTTACGATAAAGTTCATATCAGAAAGGTTGAAATGTTCACCAATCTCCTTTGTTCTCAGTTAAGTATAATTTTTATATTAAATTATTTATAAATTCATTTTTGATTACGAGGTCACGTCTTGTGGACAGCATCAGAATATAATCGACGTTTCGCCTTTCGTGATAATACGAATTTTCTAATGCTGACAACTATACTTAATATAGCAATCAAAATCGCATTATGGTGGTGATGTGATGTCCCACCCAGTCACATTATCCTGACACCAGGCTGACCAATCCTAACACTAACCTCTTAATGCTGAGCGCAAAGGGAGGCAGCTGTTAGTACCAATTTTGTTAGTCCCTGGTATAACTCGGCCGGGGATAGAACCCACAGCCTCCCGCATCCGATGCAGACACTCTAACCACTAGGCCACCGGAGAGGTTATCATTAAGGTGGAACTACACGTGCTTAAAGCCAATATTTCGATGATCAAAACGTAAGACAGTCTGTGATTTCAGATGAATTTCGTTTTAAAATGATGAACTGTTAAGAAATTAATTTCTTTTTCAGTTACATATAGGGTGTTTTTTAAATTATCTGAAAATGTATATCTTTACATAAATATATCTTTAAGAGTACCATTCGATCTTAGCATCGTGTTATGATCCTTTTCTGATGTCGAAAACTCGGAATGAATTAATTCAGACTCGAATAATAATAATAATAATAATAATAATAATAATAATAATAATAATAATAATAATAATAATAATGATGATGATGATGATGATGATGATGATGATGATGATGATGATGATGATGACGACGACGACGACGATGATGATGATGTCATTGGCCTTAAACTAAGTATGAGAACGAAGATAAACCAACAATTTTAGTAAAGTCAACAAAAATATTTGTTAGCAAAAATGCAAAGTGAGAGTGTAAGACACTTTCAGTATTATTAATTAATTAATTAAATCCCGAAAAATCCAACATGTTCTGTCACAAAGCATATAATATTCGAATGAATTCCGATAATCTTGAATGTCCCGATGTACAAAGAGTCTTAAATGTCTTGAAGTACCAATAGTATTAAATGTCTCGGATGTACCAACATTCTTGATTTACCACAATGATATAATCCTGAATGTCTTTGAATGATATAATCCTGAATGTCTTTCAATAAATTCACAATAATCTTAGTATTTAATCCCAAAAGTACATGATAACTTTTTAATTCCATTGAATAATTTCAGTAAATGATTTCTCTCAAAATTATATTTTAAATAAAACTAATATGAAACAGGGTGTTATATATATATATATATATATATATATATATATATATATATATATATATATATATATATATATATATAATTTCATAATTGAATGGCCAGGACGTGTGCCATTTCAAATGAAAGCTCCCATCACATTCGTGTACAAGTTTAGACCGTTCAAAGGCTAGTTTTAATAAACATCTTTACTATTTATAATCATGACACGAGTCAGGAAAGCAAAACATGACAATGGTCCGGTAGGCTAAATCTCTACCCTTAGTCATGGAAATGTTCAAGTATATAATATAAATTAAATATACATAACCTTATTTATTCTTAGAGAAGAACTTTAAGGTAATTTCTGCTTCAAATATTGTTAGAAGACTAAACACTTTGTTCTGATATGTGAGAGAAATAAAGTTTCTGAAGATCTCCCAGGAGTTACGGTTGGAAATTATTCATGTTTAACAGGAATAACGGGTCTTGGTTTTTAAGTACAATGATATAATAAGCATATCTTATTATTTATTGCAATTCGGGCACTTTTGGATGTGATACAAAAAAATTGAAGAAGGCAGATAAACTGAAGCTGAAAACTGACTTTATACTTGACAATATTTGTAAAGTATATTAACACAAATCTAACAAAAAAAATCCTGCAGAATAAAACAATCTGACTATTGTTGTATCAGCACATTAAATAATGAAACATGCCAACCGTTTTGGGCGACGAGTTATCAGATCTGTAGTGTACTGGGAAAAGGATAGAACATTTCTGAGATCAAAGAGAAAATACAAATGTGAGACGAAAACAGCACAAGGCTTTAAGAAGCAGTAAAAGGGCTTTTGGCTAACAGGAATGACATTCCAAGACGAGTTTTATTAATGACGATCGGATCCATAAACAAAACTGTACGGGATACCCTTGAAACGTTCAAGGTTAAATTCTGTAGATTGAATAACGCTAATGAAAATGATACAATTTAACTATATATTTCTACACAATACTCCCAATTCATAAACACTATTTAGAATAATATTTCAATGATACTCTGCGCATCTCAAATCTTAAAATTATTAAGAACATACAATATACGGAGACAAACTTACAATGCTTTCCAAAGATATTAAAACTTGTGTTGACAACATTTATTTACGAAATATTAGTTTGCTTACATCATACAGGTATTATGTGAATTATTCCGCCTGTATTTTGATTGTTGTAAAATTGCTTTAATTTAAAAAAATATATATATATATCAGTTAGTTCCATACCGGTGATTATTATATTCCGCTGAACTGCAATAGAATTAGCATTATCATTTGTAGCAATGATAGTAGCTAGTGTGTGTGTGTGTGTGTGTGTGTGTGTTTGATTTGGATGTCTTAATATAGCTTTAACAAGTATTCAGTCATATCCTTACGATGTGTGTGTGTGTGTGTGTGTGTGTGTGTGTGTGTGTGTGTGTGTGTGTGAGTGTGTGTGTGTTTGATTTAGACTTTTAACGTAGCTTTAACAATTTCTCAGTCATATCGCTACGATGTCTGCAGTGTGGCAGTTTATAGTGATGTCTAGCACAGGGGCATCATGCCGCAGACATGTAGCATTATGTCCCACCCAGGCACATTATCCTGACACTAGGCTGACTATTCCTAACATTAACCTCTTAATGCTGAGCGTCGAGCTGCTATTATTCTTTTTTCTTATAAGTCATGGATAAGACTCAACCGGGCTTCGAAACCGCAAAGTCCCGCATCCGAGGCGGATGATCTAACTACTAAGGACACCGGAGCGGAGTAGATAGACATTATGTCATTTTTAACCGAAAGAATAGTTTACAGATAAAAACAAAACATTTTTTTTAAAAAGCTCCTGTTTGTATTTAATTATACTGAATAGAATATGCCATTTACTACATATGTTCTGATATTGAGGACCATTATTTTTGTTAATAACGATCATTGACTGTACATGTCGCAGATAAATAACTTTGATGAAAAAATAGACGAATCTATACGATTTATATGCAGCATGACTTTTTATTACTAGGACTTTTAATCCTTGGATTGCTGTTAGATTTAATTCGCAATACCGTATTTTACAAAATTAAAAAACCTTGGGGATAGACCTTATTGGACAGAACTTATTTAGTCACCAATCAACTTAGAGACACACATTCATGCACCGCTCCGGTGGCCTAGTGTTTAGAGCGTCCGCCTCGGATGCGGGTGGTCATGGGTTCGATCTCCGGCCGAGTCGTACTAAAAACTTACAAAAATGGTACTAACACCTGCCTCGCTTGGCACTCAGCATTAAAAGGTTAGTGTTATGACTGGTGGGCCTTGTGTTAGGATAATGTGACTGAGTGGGACATCATGATACATGTTTGCGGCATGATGCCCAGTGCGCTAGACATCACTATAAATTGCCACACTGCAGACATCGTAGCGATATGACTGTTAAAGCTACGTTAAAAGTCTAAATCACACACACACACACACACACACACACACACACACACACACACATTCATGACAACGTAGTTTTACACTTGCATGTATTTCATCCCATCTCACGATTTATCACTACGCATTTGTAAACAGTAGATGGGTATTTCATGCCATTTACAACAAAGCATGAATGAAACACCTAACACACGTTATTATTACTATCTCAAATTATTAACCACCCATGCGTGAGATTTTCTCGTGTTAAAAAATTAATGATGGCCTACGTTACGAGACGAATTGCTTTTACACTAGTTTTGTGAATTTTGTAGTTTATGACGTCGATTCCCATGAGGCTATTTGCTCGGTTTGAGAAACATCTTCCCAATACCGACTATCCATAATCAAACAGTTAATTACAAGATCTAATTAAGCTAAAAACGAAGATGTAAATAAAAATAGCACGAAGATATTTCTTATTGAACGTGTATGCCGAAATACCAAGTTACACACTTGTACGAAAGAATGAGGTCAACGCTGTTGACGGAAATAACTAATGTGAAACCCCGGGTACCATAAACGACATATTTGGATGTCATAATGGAACAATATACTTAATACTCTCTCTCTCTCTCTCTCTCTCTCTCTCTCTCTCTCTCTCTCTCTCTCTCTCTCTCTCTCTCTCTCTCTCTCTCTCTCTCTCTCTCTCTCTCCAGTTTTTTTATTATGCACAGGGGCCAATGTGTAAATAAACGACTAATCCCTACATTTAAACAATATAATCATGAGATATTTAAAGTACAAGGCATGAATGAATGCTTAAGTTGGTGTGAATAATTTTTGTTGTTTGCATTTAATATTTCCTGTTAATATTTGTGCTGGTCTTAAGGGTAGTTTTATCACATTCGTAGCTGTAGAGATTTATTTTGATTACTAAAAGATGTAAAATGATCCAGCGCTGTTGATTTCGTTAACTTTGAAAACATGCAATTGACATACGTGAAACTTTTTGAAAACCGTGAGTGATAATCTCAGGCGCGCGCGAACACACACACACACACACACACACACACACACACACACACACACACACACACACACACACATTGATTCAAACTTTAAGAATCATGTGACATCGACAATACATGTGAAGAGGTCACGTTTTTTTTTCGGCGTGACGTGATCGCTTTGATGTTATTGTCTCCAAGACGTCACGTCATAGCTACCATCAAGAACACGCATAGAGAAGATGCATTTACATTGCATTTCATCGGAAATGGTCCTTATAAAGTATTAAGAAACAAGATGGTCTTTCCTGGAAGGCTTAGAGATACAGTGGCCTGTGTCTCCAACTGCTGTTTCCAGGAGACTATCGATGATGATGTTGATGATACTGTTGATGATGACGATGATTATGATGATGATATGGAATGGCATGTAACACCAGAACCAGCCATATTTCAGGTTCGTGACAACTCAAGTATTGCTATATTGTTACATGTGCTGAAACTCTAACACTGCATAAAACTTTGTCTTCCATTGGATTTTACTTGTTTTAACATTCAGCATGTTACAAAAATAGCATTGATTTGCTGTCTTTATATCTTTCAGTGACGTGTAAATGAACTTTAGGGTCCCTTCTGCATTCTGTTCCAAATAATAGTTTGACGTTTGTGCTTCTTTCTGTTAGCTTTTAGAGTCAATGGCGTCAA